GAAGGACCTTCATTTTCTGTATCAAGAGGAACCAAAGAAAAAAGACAAATACAGCATGTAGGAGGGTTATCAGATTCGCCCAGCCATTCTCTAAGGACCTAAAACACGTAGAATGTTTGAGTGACACTTGTCTTACACGTAGATAAAATAAAGGATAAGGTTTAAATAGATATATATTTACCTGATGAGGCCTGTGTCTGTGGCAAAAAACAGGAAACTCAGACTCAAAGATAGCAACCCCCTTAGTTTTGTATATACATGGGAGATGACCTTTAACCGAACACTTTTTAATTGAACATCCTATACATGCTCCCGGTCTTCTACAAGAGCTACAACGCAATGCGCGTCCTCTTTTGAGTTCTGCCCATATATCTTCTATTAAGAATCCCTCAATATGCTTATCAGATTGTTTAAGTAATGAGGGGTCATCGCTTTGCACCAGTCCACTAGCTGTAAACTAAAAAAATAATAAAAATAGGCATGTTGACTAACCAAACAGTGCCGATGCACTTTGAAATCAGATACACATATTAATCCACCAAGGGAAGGTTCGTCGGATGTAGAAAAGCAAAATAGGCAACCTTAAATAAAATTAACAAGCCTACCATCATTGGATATAGGAAATGGCTTGCCCCTAGGCATTCAAACTGATGCAAACAAAGAAAATACTAAACGGACAAACGCAAAAAAAAGAACTAAGCTAAGAAACTACAAGAGACGAATCTGGCGGGTCAACCGGAGGTAGGGATTAGTATGCATTTAATATTCTCCCCTATAGAAATAACTAGATTATAGCTCACAGTTTTTGAGAAGCTAAATGCGTTTAAATTATTATGCTTTCGAATAAGCTTGGATAAATTGATTCTAATAATAGAATAAGAAACGTAAATGTACAATAAAGTAAAATAATGCATAAAATCAAAGATTTTAGATTAATTTTTTAAGGTTAATTGGGTTCAAAAGTAAGGATCAAGCCATACAAATCCGATGTTAAGAGGAATATGTTTGGAAATTTTTGCAGATTCCTTAGTTTGTACTCTCACTAGGACTTAGGGCACAACAACCTATCATATTTCTGAGCTGTTCTAGTTAATTACATTTTAGATGTCCTTAGATTAACAAAATAAATGTGAGAAATGCTTAATTTAAGTAATCTTACCCTTGAATCCATTAAGTGAAAAAAAATAATTATGTACTGATGTGAGAAATTGTTGAAGCAGAAGGAAGAAG